GCTTCCACATTAAATACACTTAAAGGCAGAGGTACAGAAGGTATAATTATGGCTAAAAAGTTGACAGCGGTGGCACCGGCCAGTTACGTTTGAATTCTTGAGTCCTTCAAACGTAATTTAATAACGAACTGATGTTATTTTATATACCGAGCCTTCAGATTTTGGCGAGTGTACGAGTACTAAAATAAGAACCTTTCGTTCTTTCCAATAACTTTCATACGAACAACCTTTAATGGATGAAAATCTTGACTGCGTAAATCTTCCTCAACTGCGCTACTGTCAAGTTCGGGAAAAATTACTTTTAGTACCACTCTCAAAAGCTGTAAAACTCGTAATTACTTTCTAATAATAATTTTCTGGGTCAATTGAAAATTATTAGAAGACAGCAATAAGGATATTTTTAGAAGAAAAATGGTCACGTTTCTTATACGTAATAGAGAACTACACCTGGCCACCGTTGTTTCTCACGAATACTTTAAGGTGAAACATTTTCCTTGTCTCCGGAAAGTTTTTCGCAGTTGAGATGTGGAGTTTTCTGTTCTGTGGGGTGTTGTCGATTGGAAAGCTGAGTGTTTGTGTTTTGAGTAGTTAAATCACTCAGTAAAGACGGTAATCCGTTTATATCAGTGCTTTGGCCTTGTAAGATAGACCAGAAAATGAATCTGAGCAGGCATTGGGTAAAGGAGCAGGTTTGCAAGAAATTGAAATAGCATTTAGCTTGTTTTTGCTAATAACTGTAAAGGGAACAGATTCTAGCTCGTTAATTCTCTTTTGCGCTATTTTTAATTCTTTTTATAGCTTTTCATTTATGGCTAGTATCTCAGTGATGTAAGCTGCGGGATCTTTACCAGAAGAAACAAGAGACATGTTAAGCAATATATATAAGTAAATGAAGTGATATAGTAAAAAATAAAAATTAATATATAAAAGTTAATTGAGTAAGACAGATTTATATAAAGAGTATTGGTTTAGGCTTAGTTTATATATTAAAATAGAGTAGTGATTAAAGTTTTCGTTGTAGTAATAAAACATGTAAATAAGTAAGTTATTAATAGCAAATTCGTAGTAAAAAGTAGAGGTGCACAGGTCACATCCAAAATCGGCAAGAGGACTGGGCAAGAAAAACTTTTCTATAAAGAATCCTGAGAACCTTTTAGCTTTATTAAAAGATATCAAACTAGAAAGTAAAGACATTATAGAACCGCTTTATACAAGTATTCCAATAGAAAATTGATGGATTTCTGTAGCATCTTTCTAAAAGGGTCTCCAGGCCAAAATTTTTTTGTACATACTATGAAGCGATCCATCTTTTATTATATAATAATGTCTTTAATGTTATGTTATACCAAGAACTAAACGGGGAATCCTATGGGCAATCCCGCTGCCTCCAGCCTTGGTTACTTCATATTCAGTGTATTATGAAGCTTTAAAGTTTCATAAATTCTCTCCTTATATAAAGTTATATGAAAGAAATATGGATGATACCTTGCTCATATGGTTAAAAAAAAAGTTCAACTTTCGGGCTTTATCAGCCATATTTCAGATTGTACTAAGCTAAGCTGGCCTTTAGAGATAAACCAGAACAATTCCATTTTCTTTTTAAATTCATATATTTGGAAAGATAATAATAGAATTATTCATACAACTAATAAAATGGAACTCAATTTATATCTTTATTAGCACTCAACTTTTGTCCCATACCCCCTTTTCTAACCATGAAAGACTACGAAGAAGTTTTTGACAACATGATGAGAGGAATCAGCTTAGCATTCCACTTTGCTGATTTCTCTAATAATTTTGTTAAAAGCAATGTCAATGTGTCCAACAAATCTTTCATACAGGACAATGTCCCGGGAGAGGTTAATGATACTTTCAGATGTCTAAAAGTTAATTTTTTAGACCACGTTCGAAAGTTTTACAAGAATAGAAAAACTATTCAAGTAGAATTTAGAATCTACTCAAACAATTTTCTTAAAGGAATTTAAGAATAACAAATATCTGAAAGTGATCAATACTGATAAAAACCAAGGCCCTGCATTAATGACCACAATACAGTATGTAAATTGGTGTAGCGACCATTTACAAATAAAAATTTTTATTTCGAAATTCAGAAGCGCAATAAAGAGATATTGACAACGTGTCGAGATAAGATTCTTGGTTTTTATCAGCAGGTAAAAAGAACGTTGGATAAAAATAATGAATTTATGAAACTGACCAGAATCATTTTACATCATCTGGATAAGACTAAACTTTATTATTTTTACGGGTTAGCCAAGGTACACAAAAAAGGTTTTCCTAGATGTGCACCAGACATTAGACCATTAGTTGCGTGTTAATAAACTTCTTCCTGGTCTGTCGAAAATGGTTCCACCATCCCTTCTTATATCAGGAATTCTGATGATATCCTGACTGCTATTCCGGGTACCATTTTGTCATCTCATCATGAACTAATGTCTCTAGATATTTCAGCCTTATATACTTCCATTCACCCATGGAAGCATATAAAGAGATTAAAAAATATATTCTAGAGCATTTTGTACCAATTCATGGTGGTTTGTTTGTAGAAGCTCTTCGTTTAATTCTGAGTACTGGTTATTTTGAATTCTATGACAAGCTCTACATTCAAACGAACGGCATTCCTATAGGGGATCCAGCAGTCCCCAGTATAGCAACCCTTTATGTTGCTTACTATGAATCTACCAAATTATACCCTCTCTTAAAATCCAATGTCATCTTATATAAAAGATACTTGGATGATGCATTGGTGATTTTAAAAGATAATGGGAGATTCTTAGAGAAAAAAATGCTGGCCATCCATAACAGTATTTCTGGTCTAAAATGAACCAAAGGATCTATGAAGGATGGTAAATTACAATTCCTCGACATCTGTATTCATACGGATGGTACGATGTTATGGACAACATCGGCGGAAAAGGATACAAATTTATTTCTATATCCTACCCCTCATTCGGCACATCCGCCAGGAGTTGTAAAAGGTATGGTGAGAAGCTTAGCTTCAAAATATTACAGACAAAATTCTTTTCGCGAGGATTTTGTATAATGTTGTAACAAACTTTTTGCAAGGTTAATGGAGAGGGGTCATTCCAAAAAAAAGATTATATGTAATATTTAGATACGCTTTCTTCAATGTTATCTAAAAAGGACAACAACGATAACAACCATACCTTACGAAACGTTTCTTTTTTTCATATCCAATATGACCCGAACGGACCGAGGCGGAGTTTGATTAGAAATGCCCTTGCCACGAATGTCATATCAGCTATGGCAAATAATTGCCCTATAACGATTGGATATTCCAGACCTCGGAATATCAATGAATTATTGGGTTCGAATCGTTTCGTAAACTCGGAAAGTGGAGCATTATAAATTAGAAAAGGAGGATAGCTAGCTAGCACTGTTTCTTTTTTATAATGTTCCTAAACCTAATATTAAAGTCATATGCTTTTTTATATGAAATGTTCCCGAACATTTCTAATTATTCTGGAAACCACTTTCCGAGTATAAACCTGAAAAGGTATATAAGAGACTGAAAAGACCTCTTCTAGAACTTTTCGCTTTTTCGCTTACCAAGTGCCCTCAAATTCCACTGAAGAAGCCCAGGCAGCAGAAAGGATCCTGATTCAAGATACTTTTTTGAACAATCAGTCAAGCTTGATTCAAGGATACCTCTGGAGATTTTAGCGAAAAACTTTTATTAATAAAACTATTCTATACCGCATACGAAAGTTTATTGATAAAAGAAATAGTTTGAGTATCTTCAAGAAGTTTTATGATAATTTTTGTTTGCAAAGATTATCATTACATCTAACCCTAACCCTAACCCTAACCCTAACCGTACATATTTAAATTCACTTCTCAGCGGAGCTTATAAAGACATTTATAAATCATACGGAATATGTTATGTGCATTTCATTTATTAGAGCTTTTCAATATTATTTTTTAACAAATTTATCATGGGTCGTTACCTTTATTGTGTAATATTTCAGACTTGTCTTATAATCAAACCTTTAGTACACCGGATGTGCCTGCAGATTCAAAGCTAATTCACCATATAAAAGAGAGTTACAAATGTAATGGATACTATGGAATCTTAAGAATAGTGAAATTTATTTTATAGATTTTATTTGCTGCTACGAAAACAGTACATTATCACATCTTTCGTGACCAGAACATTCTTTTAAAAATGTAAAACTGTTTTATTAAAAACTAGCTTTTAAAGAATAGAATTAAAAATGATCTTTTCTTTCATTTTTTTAACCTTTGTACTTTCTTCTATATAAGGTACATTAAGCCGAGGATTTTGTATAATTTAAGAAAACCTGCTTAACTCAACAAACTTAATGTACCAACTTCTGGAAAGGCATATCACTAGCACCCCGGGGGTGGCTCTTGCAAAAGGGCAACTTCATTTTGACAGTTTAGTGGCGCCTAACGCTTAAATCACCATATTGTACTTAAGTAGGTATACAGATTAAATCTTTTCCTTATGCGATTTCTGTTTCCTATTTTAAGTTAGATTAATAAGCTTTGTATTTTTGAAATATGGATATTTGGAACGAGCTAATTTATTTGTTGTAAGGAGTTTTGTAGTTATGTTAGTGTTTCCCGTAATTATTTTTTTTCAAGTAATAAATTTATAGCAATATAATTGAAAATTTTTGTGAAAAAACTAAAGATGACAGTTGCACGCAATGAAATGCCTGAAATTACTAAATTTCAAATTGAAAGAGAGCAATATCTTAACTTTGAAGTTTTATGTGTTTCTTGGTCTGAGAAGTATGATGTACTGGCTCTAGCCACGTCGACTGGTAAAAAAATTATTAATTGCAGTATGTTATATTGTAAATATAACTTTATAAGGTGATGTCTGCCTTTACCGCTTATCATGGCAAAAGTGGTGGCAAGCTACTATTTGTGGTTTATACACACTATTGCAAGCAATAGGAAAAAAAAGTTATATCATTCTTAAGAAAAAACAGACGAAGTCATATGCTCCTTAGCCTACAGCCTTGGCTCCAAACTTTTGGCTGTCGGGACTACAGCGGGTCTTTTTGCTGTATATTAAAAAAGTAAATATCATTTTCTTTTATCATATTAACTTTTTCAAGGACAACTTTACTTATATACTACCGAAAGCTGTGCCTGTGTACATAAAATTGCAATTGTCAAAGGTTATTACTCACTGTTATTAACGTATACTATAGCTTTACCATTATTATTTTTTTTAGACAAACTCAATTATTTAAAATGGTTTAACCTTTATAACATGGAGGATAGCTCTTCACTACCCTATATGAATCTATTTAAAAATGTTCGAAATGATAATAAATTTGTTTCTGAATTAAACATTCGCCACGAAACTTTATTTCCTCCTTTATATTCCCTTGACGGTTAAGAATTGCTCCAACTATCATATTAATTCTATACCGTTTTACATATTTTATTTAGAAGAGAATAAGGAACTAAAAGTGCTTTCACCCACTGATGCCAAAATTTTCGAATTCAGAGCAATTCTCGTGAGTGCATGTTTAATTTTTTTTAAGAGATTCAACTTCATATATTCTTAAAAGGTAGTCGGAGCCAAAAACGGAATTATCAAACTTCTGATAGGCGGAAAGTTTTTGGTTGTTGAAGTGCACCGGCCGAGTTGTTCTTCTTCCGTGGAACTGCAGCACTGCCATCTTTCTGTAGCTGACCACACTTGTACCTTATATGCCGCCGTCAAAGATACTCAGGGAAAAGTAATTTACTTTCAAGCACTTATAGTTTAAAATACTTAGTTGCTTTGAAAAAACTTTTAGATTTATTAAATTCACAGTGATTTATTTGTTATTATCATGAGTAGCTTCACATTCTGGTGTTTGATGTGAGTTTTTTAAGAAATTATGAACTCCAATTACGAAGCATCACTACACACATACTTTCCATTGACCACCTTATCCGGTATTCAGTTTTTATTATATATTCATTTAAGCCAGTTTGATCTTTTATTTATATGTTTTTGGTTTATTTCTACTTTTTAAATAATAGCTATGTCTCCTGCACTCTCGCAAGTATGGAATCTTTGTGCAAGGGCATTGACGAAACTTTTAGCCAGCACTTAAGTGAGACGTTAGGAACTTTTCTAATAGATGAGAATTATTTTGTCGTTCTAGCGAACTACGAGCGGCAAGCAGATTGCGATACCACGGTGGAGCACATGTTCGTACAACTCTTTTTAAGCGATACGTGCTCTTTGTGCTTTGAAAATGTCTGCGTTCTTTTTTTTGATCGCATGGACAACTCATGTCATACCTAAAAGTTTTTATTGGACAATGTGCCAGAACAGCTCATTAAAAAAACGGCCTTAACCTATGAGCGTACGTGCTTGAAAATACTGGGTATTGGCGTTCGCCATGCCAGAAGAAGTTTGGAGGTCCGTTACCAGTGAGTTTTTCCTTTCTTGGGCGTTTATATGAGTTTTTATTGGTTAAAAGATGCTTATTTACCACGTTGGAGAAGTCGCCGGCCTTGCAAAGTCATATTTGCTACCAATTCTTATCTACCAACCAGAAACAGCCATATTATCTATAGACTGCCCTTGATTTTTCAAGAAATTGGTATTACCGAGAACATGTGGGGCCCCTGTCTCCAGCACACCCTTTTATTGGCTTATAAGTTAGAGGAATTTGTGCTTTTTCTTCAACAGTCTCGCTATAATCTTGGCCTTTTCTTTAATTGGTTGTACCTGGTATTATTATTTTTGCTTGAGGCATTTACATTAGCTCAGTGAAATTGTTCTTCTTCGGAGCTGCTCTGCAAAAAACAAGGCAATGACGATGCTGATCCTCTTCTCAATGCTAATCAAAGCGATGACAATTCACTAGCTTCTGTTTTGAGTTAAGTGTTCTTCGCGCTTAATATTGATTTGTTATATTACTGACTGGCAATTTTATTATTAGAGCACTTTTTAACTGTGCGCGAACGAATGAACAACCATTTCGCTTATCCTTTCGTTAAATATGTATGTTATTATTATTTCTTCATTATGGGGTTGTAAAGAATAAAAAAAAAGTTTTTGTATATCATTTTCGGGATGAGGGAGACAGACGTTTTGCATATGATTTTATTGGCTCTTTTTATGCAGTACTTTTTGGACCAACCATTACCCTTCAATATGCACTACTTTTGGCGCGACTTGACGGCAGACGCAAAGTTTTATGAATCACTCTTACCCGTTTTTTTATTTATGGACTGTCTATATCAGAGAAGTTCAGAGTTTAATACCTTATAAAGAAAAGTATTCTCTTACACAAGCAGAGAAAAAAGCAAAAGAATATTTGGTAAATAAAGTTTTGTAAAAAATTTAAAATTAATAAATAATTATTATTAGGAGCATAGTTTTATGCTTATTAAAAAGGAATTATCAAAAAAAGTAAAAATTAAATATAAAACGGAAGTTAATTATATGCTTCAGGTTTTCTATATGCAATTACAAGCTGATTAGACCCCTATACTCTTTATAACGATATGAAGTCAAGAAACCCATCTTCTGACCTAACGGCAGAAGGCGTGTCGGTTGTAAAAGAGGATCACACGTGGCTCACTTAATAATGATTTGTAGATCTTTTGGTAACTTGGTTTGATAGGTGGTATGTCACGCGTTTCTGTGACGCCGAGCACGGTTGCTGCCTGCAACTGTTGCTAATACCTTTCAATGGAGGAAGTTACAGAAGATTTATTGTTCCGTTAAGGAGCATTCACTCGGAGGCTGTAAGGTAAGCTTGCTTACTTTGGCTTATGTACTTGTTACTAAATTAGTTTATATTACTACTTATTATGGTATCTTTAAAAAAAAAATCTCTATATAGTATAGAGGACATAAAAGAATACCGAAACGAATTAGCTTTACTTTGGACAGAAAAACTGCAACAAACAAACTTAGACACTTATATTTCCCATTTGACTCTGTTTTCTTTGGAGAAAATTTCTATTCTTCCTGAATTAATTTTTAAAGCTATAAAAACTGAGAAATATTTTTTGATAAAGTACTTCAAAAAAAAATTTAACTTCTTACTTTACTTTTTATTTGCATTTTTATATAGTTCTGAACTTTTTACAAGTCTCATTACTGGAGCTTGTAAACTGAACGCTGGAGGGCCGCATATGAACCGCTATACCTTCCTCTCTTTTTCATTTCAAAGAAGATTTGCAAGCTTACTGAGCATTAAACGAAATAAAATCTGCTTAGTTGATCTTAGTGAAGATTCTCAACTCACTACCTAAGTGCTTGCGAGAAGTATAGCAATAAAATTATTTAAGGCTATTATGGTAACTTTCGCTCTTATTAATGAAACCAGGTACTTGAGTTGACTCCATATTTTTTAAAATTTTTGGTATACATCTTAAGTTTTTTATTCGCGGCGGTGTCTCTCAAAAGATAAGCGACTCTGTGAGTTTTTTATATTATAATTAAATTCACTGTAACTCAGATGTATAGAGAAATAAACTAAACCTCTGTAGTTCGAGGTGACACACTTTGGACACTTAAAAGTACTTGTATCGCACTCTAAAGCGAGCTTGTTTATATCCTTAGCGAATAAGTTTAAAAGAAAGTGAAAAGAAAGTTTTTCTTTAGCAGCCAGTGGCGTCGAGGTTCCACCTTACTTTTCTCCCTTTTCTTCGCCTTTTTACAAGTGCTGTCTTGTCTCACTTAAAACCAGGGAAAAGTAAGATGCACTTTTTTACATATAAATACTCAACTATGACGTGCACCTACTTTCGAGGTAATTATTATAATGGATAGACAAAAGAGATGTGCTAATCTTATATATTAAACTACTGATAAAGTTGTGTAATGGTTACCCGCTCCTATTTAATAGTTCTGCAACCTGTAGTCACTATTCATTTTGCTTTATTATAGGCCTAAACGTCGCAATATTGCGATCAATAAGAGGTAGGGCTTGACTTAATACGCAACCATTTATGAAAACAACGAAGTTTAGTTTCTGTAGTACTGTCCTTAATAACTTCTTTTATTAAAGGAATTCTTGGCGTTCAATTGGGTCAAAAAAAATACCTATTTTACGAACTCTCAACAGGATAATAGCGTACACACTGAATGTAATTTGGTGCTAATCTTTTTGTTAGCACAGGCGTTCTACAGGCACGATTTACATTCAACTGCTAATTAATCTAATTTTCTTCTAATGAGTGAGGGTGCGAAACCACGGCTACCTCAACGATTCATTACGCTATCAACGAGAACAGATGAACTTTATCATTTAGCTAAATAGTATACGTGGCAAGAAAGAAGCAGTAACATAATAATAACAACAATAATACATATTACATAGGCATATCGAATTTGTCACTTTCCCCCTTATAAAGGTTATAGATGTGTTTTGGCCTCGATGTACTTGAGGTGCCAGCAAGAGTTAAAACTATTAGCCTATCTTACTGAATTGTTATCATGACTACTGACCCCAGAAGGCCAGATTAGTGAACTCTATATATATATTTGAACCGGTTGAAGGTAACACTATGTAGTTGGCTTTTGCGCACAAACCAAGGGGCGTCCACCACCATTCTCAAGACGCGATTTTGTAGTATTATTAATCGTCGTATAAGAGTTGGCATTAGGCCTAGGCAATAGAGGCATAGACCAGAAGCACAGATATAGCCGACTTATTTATCGTAATTTGCTTTCCTGCATCTAAAGGCGGTGTTAAATGGCTTTGGCTTGTTTGGTTTTTTTTTGACGACGTTAAAAAATGCGAATTCCTGCTTAGTCTTTCGTCAATAATCACCCCAAGGTATTTAACCTTCTAACTGCAAGAAAGGTCAGTTTGGTTTAGTAAGAAACTTAATACTTGAGAAAGTCTCCTCTTTTGGGTCAGAATCATAAAGCTAGTTTTGGAACGCTGTAATTACCAAACTATATAAAGAAAACCATGCTAAACCACTATCAAATAGATTTTTTTTGTATATATAAACACCAGCATCGCGAATATTAAACTATAATATACAACTGTGTCATTAGGGTACTAGGCTCAGTTTATTTTTAATGATTGTAGCATATTGGACAGGTTGATAGTGATAAGCAAAGGGGATAATAGAGAGAATTGAGGGACACCCTCCTCAAGGTTGCTAATAACGGAATTCCTCGAGTTCATTCTAACAGTAAAGGTTCTATCCGTTAGGTATGAAAGTACTACCCCAATTAAGTGAAAAGGAAAGAAGTAGACCCCTTTTGATATCTAAAAAGCCCGCACCAGTTGCTTACCTTTCGTTAAAGGCTTCTTGTATACAACGGGTAAATTTTCCGAAAACCGAAATGATAATCTGTTAAAACCCACATACTATTTACAAACTCTCGTAGCCCCGAACTTCTTCAACCTTTCTAAAGCAGGACAACTAGCTTATTGAGCTTAGTCTTTAATAAACGGCTAGGGAGGCTATAGTATTTAAATTAAAGATAACTTCTGCTAATTTTTCCTTTCGGGCATAGGCTTTGGCAACTATTTGAATAATAAATCATGATATCAGGAAGCTTTTGAAGCTAGGTTTTTAGCGTTGAATTAGCAATATCACCAGGACTCAAGGCTTTTTTTGTTTTAAAGGACAGAACTATGATTTAAGTTTCGCACTAGTGGTTAGCTAACCTTGTTACATATGTTAGGTTTTAAAAGGTAAGCAGCTGCTTGAGAAGGTGTTCATTTTCGTCATGCTCTAACTTAGATAAAATGAGCTGCCAAATACCTCTACAAGTCCATAGGGTGTGAACGCTAAACATCCGGAACCATGGATACTCGATGCTTTCCCCCTATCAGTGGGCCCGATGGCCCTTTTGTTAATTTCCATAAGGAGTTGCCCTGATTTAGCTTAATTCCATCGGTCAGCTCTCGTTAAACCAAGCTTTTTATTCTTCCTTAACTCAATTGTTTATCTTGTAAAGTTTTTTATCGATTAGATGAGTGAGAGTAAATAAATTTTGCTTTCAATCTTCGCTTTTTCTTAGAAAGCTAATACGTTCTGGTGAGTTGTATTGTTAATTTGTGCGTTCTCCCGATAAGGTGAATCTACCATAGGTCTCTTTTTTAGCTACTTCCAATTGGACAACAACCGTGTCTAAGTCAGGAGTTTTCCCTACGGACTGCACCAAAGATTAAAACTCTCCCGAAATGTTGACCAACTACTTACCTTCTTTTAGGACACTAACACAAGCACTCGATGCCTTATCATCTCCTATCTCTATAAGGATGGGGTGGTGATTAGAAGAAAGTTTAAATAGCGTATTGACAGCGACGAGTAGATGCATATGTTGTGTTACTGCGGCGTCTTAAAGGTCTCTAGTTCTTTTAGTTGAGCTATGCGTTTGGTTCTTGAGACCAATAACTTTTAATCCTTTCCTTAGAGAGTAGTTACAATCAACATCAAATTTATGCATTAATTTTAGGGTTCGTGAATGAGCTAAACTATTGGTGTGCTGGATAAACCGTTGGTAGGTGGTTGTAGCATTGCGACGTTAAATGGTAGCCGGGGGGTTAGTATGGAAGCCCTAATGCAAGGCATCGTTTTAAACAACTACGGCACACCTGGCATGAAACGTAGAAGCTTGTTTTATCTCACCTGAAGCGAAGAGACTATTACCATTGAGTCGTGGACCCAAGCTCTCAAAGCGTATGTCATGTTTGGCAGCCTTAACAAATATTCGTTTTCCACTAATCAATTTTATTTACAAAGCCGCCATTGATGTTTACAATGCGGGAAAAAAGGGTAAACTTATTGTAGCGAGGAATCGCGAGCCACATGCTTTTAAGTCAGGGGCAATTTTAACAGTTTGATGCAACCCAGTGCCGGGTGCGGTATGACGCTTATTAGGTATATAAGTGAGTCGTTACAATATGTTCCATTAACGAAAGCATCTTTATAGACGACGCCCATCCAAAAGGGCGTTCATACTGCTATATACAACTTTGATTGTAAATTAAAAAGTTTATAAAAGTGACTGGTTAAGTCGAAACAACAAATTGACCTATAAAATAGTTAGACCAAAACGAATTGTTATTATAAATTTTAGAACTTTAACAAAAAATTTCATGTCCCTTTAAGGTGGGTGTGCATTATCGGCGTGGTGTTATATCTAACAATGGGATTATGCTCTCAAAATGCAAAACATTTTTATATCAGGCCTCCTCTTAGTTAATAGTTAATGTGCTGTCGGCTGAAGTGATAAAGATAACGTAATTTTTTTTATCTATATTAAAACGAGTACAGAAGAAATACAACAGCAAAAATAGCCAAAGTGGAACAGCATGGCCCTTACCATGTTAAATGATGTCTGGTTGTTTCTTTCTGCAACCCCATCTCCTTGTAGGGAGTATGGAGACGTATAATTACAGTGATTTCTTTACTAATCATTATATTAAGAAGAAGCAAACAAAACTTTTTGGCATCCTCAGTGAGAAGGTTTATTGGGGCAACAACTTACCAGTTTAACAATGGCGTTATTAAAGTTCGTAATAATATTAGCCTTCATTTCTATACCTCATTAATTAGCAGGTCCTATAACTAGGAACATAAAACATAGGTTGGGCTCGACAATATTTATTTGTTAAGCATTTGATTTTCTTAATCTATTAAAGAATATTATAAAAAAAAGACCCCAAAGTAGTAACCACGTGATCAGCAGAAGAATGCAAACAAAGGAGAGCGATACATTATATATTTTATTTATTCGTATTTGCCATTTTTGGTGCTCCACCGAGTAAATAAACCTGAATACTTTAAGCTCTCTTTCAAAATTAGTAGCATTTTCTTACAAGGACTTTTACAGGGAAGAGCACCAGCATGTGTGCTATTCCCGTGGAGTAAGCCACCGCAGAGCGATTTACCTCAGAGCGAACGAAATGTTGCTTTCGCTTGACGAGTATATACAAGTGTTCCACATTACTCATGGCCCAAGAGATTAATCGTTATTATCTAGCAAAACTGGTAGCAATAATTTGTTCCATTTTAGTACTGAACTAGTAAGGGAAATCCTACTCTTTTGAACTGGGCTCCACTTTTTGGCGTGGTAAGAAGTCTAACATCGTCTGACAAAGTGTTTAGTCTGTATTAGAGGACCTTGGCTCCCAGCTTTTTGACTTGGAATGAGAAATACTTCTCGATGAATACAAGAATTCCAAAGTAGGGGTAGGAGAAAGTCAGAGGCAACTAAGTTTTTTTTTTTGCAATGCCCTCAACCATTTTAGTCCGCACGTGCACTTCCACTAAAAAATATAGCAATGTTTTTCCCACATGAGATCACTCATGCTCATCTTAACTACATCGCCCTTTATTAGAGCGGGAAGAGATCTCGAAATTTTCACCCGAAAGGTGCGGTAATATTGGGGAAACTTTGTCATACTAAGAAGAGGTCTTCGTGTTTTTTTTTTATTTTAAACGCGGAAGCCCTCATAAGCGCGATTTACCGACTCGCGTTAACCAGGTCTTCGCCCTTTTGTACGCACGCCCGTGGCTACGACCTGTTGAATGATCTAGTGAGGTCATCGGCTTAGTAAAGGGGAGCTGTGGAAGGGGTTTTTATTAAAACCCAACTAGGGTGCGCCGAGAATCTAAACAAACTCAGCAAAAGTGGGAAATAAAAGTCAAAAAGGGTTACCGTGGATTAATTTGCAGAAGCTCATACCCGTTTACAGAAATTCACTTACCCGCTTAACCTGTAAACTTGGATGGAGAGGCGGAAAACCATTTACCCAGGTTGTATAAAATATTTCAAGTTGGGAGAAAAGGAGGAAAAGGGGGAAGGTGAAAATGAGTGAGTAATTACTTTCTGACCTTTTATTAATGGAGCTGGTCTTTAAAAAGAAAGCACTTTTTTACCTACCATTGTGACTCTTGAACATAAACGTCGTAGGGGCTTCCTATTAAGGGTAAATGAGATTGAGGAGATAAAATTTCATGTGGAGGTCTTTTATTAACAACCGCTTTTTAGCATAGCACTGCACTGTTTTTTTTAAGAACCTCTCTTAGAAATAGTTTTGCAAGACTATCCAACCCAGCAGGTAGCTCTATGCATAAATGATTCACCGGTGAACTAAAAGTCCAAGTCGCTTTCCCTCCTACGCTAGCGTCTATTGTGCTTTTATGGTCCTGCTAACCACTGTTGTCAAAACCGATGATGGTAAGACTCGCAGTGAAGTGTAAGACTTTACTTATCAAGCGCACTGAATCGTCACCGTCCTTAATTTTTTAAAGAGTGGATTCTCGTGTAATTCCTAGAAGATATACTTAGGGCATATCATTGGCAACTAACAGTCTTGATAGCCTTACACGGACTAGGTAGTGGTGCGGAGTTTAGGAGCCGTTGTATATACTGTATATCCCTCCACTGAACACATACGCATCGACTGCCTTGGTCTATGATTTGTCAGTCATAGCTTCCTTGCTTTAAGTGTGATAAAACAAGCGTTATGTGCTTAATGACTGGCAAGCTTTAATGGGCGATTTGGTGCTCTGCTACTTGTCTTTACTCCTTTTAATAAAACGCTATCGCCCTTCAAAAAACGCTGGTCGAGTACAATAATCGTTTGCTGGCAAGTGAATTCGCCTACGGGACAGTTCTAATCCTCTTCTTAGCGGAACTAATCTCATGTATAAACAAGTTAATTGCCTTTTAAAAATAAATGAGCCACTGCAAAAAATTTTGACCGAAATGTGGATTAACTTGCCCCCTCTTTTGCTAATAAAATGGGCTATCTACAATTAAAAAAGGACAGTGTTTGCAAGTTGTCCAGCCACCGACGGACAGTTTGTTATCTACCACCCATCAAACTTGAAAAAAATAGCGCTTACCTGAAACGAAGTGCGTAGTATACCAGTGTAGGCTAAGCGAATATTATAGGTCATGTGGTTTACCTAGCCTTAAGCTCTGTTGTTTTTAGAACGGCGAGTTACGTATTTGGAATGTTGGCAGCTCTCAGGAGGAGCAACATTTTACCATTTTTCTACACCCACTGCATAATGACAGTATTTCTAACGTTCAGTGTCGATCCTACTAACCACAAGGTAAAGCCCGCATCCTTTCTCCGCAATACTTTCTTACGCTTTGGGTGTAATTCAGGTTTTCACAAGCTCCTACGACGGTTCGGCTTGTCTTCTTAACTTGAAAGGCAAAGTTTTAGGTTAAATCCCCCTTTTAAAAATAGTGTTCATCCTAAAATCCTTTACAAGAACAGATTACTACTTATTTCGGCTCAGAAAGTTGTTTCACAAGTTCTACGGTACACAATGAAGTTTCTCACATGCTTGTTATAAAAAAGCGAATTGCTTTTTTACGAAATTTTTTTTTCTTAAAGCCGTATACCTGCCCATTTAGCCCTCACTATCCTATAGTTATACATATCACAGCCTCCCTAAAGGCACCCCAAGTTGTGTACCTCTGCAATGTTCTTGGGAACGATGACTGTAATAGATATTCGGGAAAATTACAGCAGGCGCAGTGGCCTGAGAAACTTGTGGCTTCACGTGGTCCCCTAAGGAAAGCGGTTAACTAGGAGTAGACTAAGCTATTGTGCGCAAAAGATCGGTTGAGTGGATGCGTCTCTTAAAGAAGGCATAACTGCAACAGCTTCACTGGACAGAGCCAGTTGCGTGTGGGACTTGAGGGACATAAGAAATGTTTGTTTTATACTTGAAGCAGTTTTGGTCCGTTTACACTGATCAGTAGAAGCCCAACTACAATATCCACTGCTGAGCTCGGTAAGACCGTTACTTCGTTTTTTTCCCATCTGGAGCTTCCCTCATAACCACCGGTTATAACGACACGGTCAAACTCTGCTTCCCTTTTACTGTTGCTGGTATACATCCCCAGCTTAATTATGATTAGGGAAACCTATTTTTTAAAAATAGGGAAAACGCGAGCACCTGTGGTGGTGAGGACTTCATTCAAACAGGTACCGTGTTTTGTAGTTGGAGTGCTATCAACACCTTTGTGCACGTGTAGGACGGTGAGTCACTAGCTTTAAGAGCAAGTTCTGCGAAGAAGACCATTTTTACATCGGGAAACATGATAAGGGCTGTTGATCTGTACTCTAAAGAAGATTCTTTTCTTTGGTCAATCACTTTGATACACATACAGTCTGCTAACTTAGGTGTTCTTAAAAAAAAAAACTACGCTCGAAGCTTCTCTCTGTCATCCTCGTGGTAGTCCTTTATTCATTTATCATGAATACGTAAAAGATTGTGGTTTTTGCATCTTATGTCAATGAAAGTGAGCGACTACCACACTTACTTTCAAGAGACTATTGCGGGGAGGCAGGGAAAGTGTCATGTATTTCAATAAATTCCATATCGCATGTCTATTTCATTAGTAGTGAGGTCCGGTACTATCCCAAATATGATAAAACTGTAGGCCAGCGCATATTACCGGTTGAAATGCTTTATTAATGCCTTAACAAGTGGGAGAACAAGCGCACATAATGCGGGAGTCTTCAATGCTAGCTATTCTCGCAAGAAGATTGTAGATAAACATGATGGCTGGCGGTCAATTAATTCTCTCAACATAATTAACTGGAAGATAGCCTCGGACGCCTTGCAGCAAACAAGGACTTGCTTAATCCATGTGCGATACGCGGTAAAAAGTACGTCTATACCATCTTCCCTCTGGCCATAATACCATTGCTCGTCCGCCTCTTCCACGATATGAATAACTTCACTCTGTGAGTGGGTGTTAGTGTTTACGTGTCCCTGAGCATTATAAGATGAAATTATATGGTACTGCTCTAAAGGTCAGCTCGTCCGACTCCTGGCCTTCGCAGTCATATAGAGCCCTTACTGAAAACAAATACGATGTCTGCGATGTACACGTGACACATAGATAAATAAATGTAGCGCGCCAGGCGCTCTTTAGCTGGAAACCTCAGCGGAGACTCCAGACTCAAACTCCTCTGTGGGGCAAGTAGACCACGTCTCCTCCTCGAAGTTGTTGTTGCTGGTCATCAATGTGTCTGTTGAGAACTGCTCAATGGGCACGTATGTTGCCTGCACTGCGCTCAGCATTAGTAAAGCGGCAAGGAAGTCTAAGGGAGGAAGACGCACCGACTTCGCATTGTTTTTTTCCAGAGGGGGGAAGCATCTGTCTACTGTCAATAACGTTCTCCCATTGCTGGTACAACGGCTCCAGAGCTTCTAGCACTTAATCGAGCCGAATTAAAGTTGTTTCAAGCAACCAAAAAATTAAATAGCTCACGTGACTTTTCCCGTGTGTCCAGTGCAAGAAAAAAATCGCTAAACCTTTCTAGTATAGTGCAAGAGCGTGCTCTATCCAGTAATAATAACTTGTTTATATATTAGAGCAAATAACACGAATGTGTATATATGCAAGCGCCTTACCTCCTTAAGTTTAGACCGCCTGGCCTCGTCCAGCTGCTCGACGGCTCGAACGCAAGACAGCATAGTCTGTTAATAAGTTATATTTAAGAACTAGCAGAGTTAAGTAGAGGGGCAACATATACTTTTGATGGCTTCGACTTGTCCATATTCTTCTGTTTTTTTAGTTCTCTTCTGCTTCTAGTTTCAGCTGTAAGTCGATTCTTCACTAATGGATTCACAGTTTCTTTCCAAGATTTTTCAAAATTCTAAAGTGAAATTTAAAAGATGATAAACTATAATACAGAAGGTATATAACCTTAATAAAAGGTTCCTGCTCATCAATGACCTCTCTCAAGCCCATTCTCACATCTTCTAGAGACTGGTTCTAAAAGAAAAAATAACGCAGAAGTTTCAAACTTACAAAATGTACTCACATGTTGGTAATTAGTTTCGCCCATCTGAGTAAAGTAACGACCTTGCGAGACAAAGCAGCTGGCTATAAGGAAAAGGGTAAAAAAACCATCGAATATACTTATCCGCGGGAGTAATAATTAAAAGATTTTTTTATAATATCTGGAATACGCTCAGGATAACTTTTTTTGTTATATAATCAAAAGTAAAATAATAGTAAACGATTATTGCAAAAAAAACAACATTTATATACGCGAGGCATTTCCTAAAGGCTTATTACTTAGTATTAAGTCATGTATATAAAATACTTGCGTCCTCGTCTGAGTACCTGTTTTTCAGTCGCTCAAGCTCAAGTAACGATGAGCCCAGAGCTTTTTGTGCTGTAGAAAGCGCTAAAAAGAATTTTTCTTTACAAAGAGATTTTATAAAAAAAGAATTTTTTGATAAAACCTTCCCAGGCCTTTTGTAAATTTTTAACGTTTTTATATATGTCTTCCAAATACTATTTATTTATATATAGTTAGATTAGAGGATGTGCAAAAGTAATAACTACAAACACAAAGCTTTGAACCTGTACAGGCTTAAAAATTTAATAGTAAGAAATTATAGAGGTTTTAAAACCTTTTCTTTAAGACGAATATTTACGACAGTCTTATTAGCGATGTCAACGCTCGTGTCGTCTAACTTTTTGTGGTTTGTACTAAACATTTTTTTTCGCTTAATATATCGTCAGTACTTAATTTTACTCGTTAAACCAGCAACGATCCTAAACTTTAACTTCCAAAGCAAAATACAGGGGAAAGTCAACCGCTGAACTGCCATTTAAGGATCCCTTACAGAGGGTGAATACCCTAATTCAGAGTAATTAATTCGACAATGCGCCATACTAAACGGCGACCATTAAAAATTAAATAGATGTTACTGGGAAGCGTAGGGCACAGAAAAAAATTCTACATAACTTTTGTCGTATCAAGTCTTCCTTCAGTAAAAGGTAAAATTATTTTTTGGTTTCCAGCGCTATTTGAAAGGCTGCGTGTCGAAGGAGAAGCAGATAGTTTTTTGTGTATAGCTAAAATATTACTAATTTGAAATAACAAGGAAAGTTGATTTTTTGCAATAAAGAAAATTTTTAAAGATAATGAAACAACTTTAGAGCTTAAGACCAAATCCTCGCTGTAGTTATAACAATTTTTGATTAATATTTTACACATTTTTTATTTTGTTTGATAGAAGGCTAGGGTGTAGTTTATTATAATGGTAAAATTTTTTTAGTTAGTCTTAACCCCCCTTGGCTTACTTATTTTCTACAAATATTTGGCAGGATTATGATAAAATTACACCATAATTCTCTTATCTCTGTAATCTAGCCAAAAAACCAGCTTTAACTAGTTAATCGCAGTAAGTTATATACTGTTCCCGGCGCGCTAAACTAAAAGTATAACTTTCCTGAACCTAGGCACTTTTTAATGAGCTGGTTTATAGGTTTACTAAGAGCAAGTCTCCCAACATCTTATGCTACTAATGAAGTGTGCGCATACGTGCATGCATTCTCTTGTGCACACTCTTTGTTGTGCCTAACTATATATTTCTCTCTTGATAAGAGCACAATCATTAAGCTTTCTAGTACATGCACTGTGAACTTATTTTGTAACAAAAAATTTAGTTTAACTTTTGCAACTACGCTAACAGTTTAGTAGCTATAATACTCGAGAGCTTTTACCCCAAAAATAGTAACCTTTAAGAAAAGCGTGTGTAATGTTAGGGTTACTCGCCCGAGGGCGTATCCCTGCAAATTATAAGCGAGTTGGCACGCTTTGGTCAGATTTTTTTTATTGTACTGTATATCCTCTCTTTTGGTCTAACCCCTTACAGTCTACCGGTTACTATGTTTACCACTTGTCGGCTAGGTTCACTGTCAACATAAGAATTGATTTCGCAGAAAAAACAAAGTTATTTTAAGCCCAATGTTTTTCCCGTTAAAGGGTTAATTGGGATATGTAGAATCAAATTTTAAAAACAAATATTGAACTTTTAAGTATAGTTTTAACATAGTAAGTAATTTCGCTGAAAACACAAATCTGTTTTGAGCCCCAGAGTTTTGCCCGTTAAAGGTTAAAGTGGCTATGTTCCCGGGAGAGTTAAAGATTGTCAAATAAGTCCCCACAGTTTCCCTTAGTCCTTCTACTCTCCTATATTATATATTTTTTTAATCTATAACATACTAGTTTTCGAAAATATTAGCCTGTGAAATCAACAGAAATCGAAACTGTTTCGCTCGTTGGCTAGATATTAACTGTAAATTATAGTCTAAGAGCTGGCACCCAAATCTTATTTTATGCGCTATAGAAGCAATGTGATTTCCGTGTAACTTCTATCTACGCCCACGCACTTTAGCTCTAGTATAAAAAATTTGGAAATGTTTTAAGTGAGACGTGAGGTTGCAGTGCTCATTTTAAAATATCTACATAAAGCTCACTCATAAAGCTTAAAAATTTAAATAAAATCAGAAAATAAGTTGTAGTGTAGATATTTATTTTTACCTTAAACTTTCAATAAAATTAATTACAGTTTCTAATAGATGAGTCAGCAATTTGACAAGGTAACACTTCCCCTAAAGTAATAGGGCAGTGGCATTGTAAGCAATTAAAGAAAAAGTATATTTATTAGTAATAAGGCTATAAAAATGCAACCTTGATATAAGTAATTAATATTTAATATAAATTTTAGACTAAAAACTTAAGAATAAAACGGAACATTAAGGACAGTAATGTTCTACGAACGAGCAAAAAATTATTACTTAAACTTAAAAAGAACAAACGCGACTTAATGCTAGACTCAGCCCACAAACTTCAAAATTTTTGACCACCCATAACCATACTTTTAATAGGTAAAGCACAGCACGTGGAAGCCCAGCGTACTCCATAGCAGTGTTAACAACGCTTCTGTGGAATGACTTCTAGTATTAAACAAAATTAATATATGCTTTTCAACAGATACGCCTCCCTTAGCCCTGCGAGCGGAACTGATGGAGTACACATAAAAGTTATTTAAAAAGCTATTAGATCCGGGATATGTATTTTAAAAAGCTACCACAGACGTAGGAAGAATTGAAACTAGTTTTTACATGTAATGGACCTTTCGAGTAGCGTGACTTTTCCTATAAAAATTCTGTTGTGCTCTGCTTTAGTAGGCTATCTATATAAGTAATAGTAGAGTATTTTTTTATTTATCTATAGCACTGGCTTACTACAATTATTTATAATTAATTGCTACTTAATTTACTTTTCCTCTATTAATTATGGGCGCGGAAACCCCCACTTCCCTAACTATTAACTGCGCCATCTACGATAAGAATGGATTCGTTTTATCCTCATAGCTAAATAGTATATATTAACGAAGAGGTAATAGCTAAGTAAATAACAGTATTACAGTATTGTAATACTTAAGTTTAAATACCTTTGTATTATTAAAAAATATATATTTATAAGTTAATGAAGTGAACTATAGAGAGTCTTATCCCCCCTCTAGTAGGTCTAAAATGTTTGAACAGCGGGTAAGTGGTGTACTAACGAGTCATTATTATTAGTATGCTGTGGTGGATACTGTCTCTAGTAATTAAGTTCCGTGAAAATATAGAATTATTTTAAAAAATAGGCTCGAGATTACACTCTATATGTTGTTGGCTGTTGCGCATTTTATAAACGCGATTTTGTAGTAATTGTAGTCGACGAATATGTTTGCTTGAGGAATAGGCCCAGGTAATGAGGCATAAACCATCAGCGGGCGGATAACCGATTTGTATAACAGAAGCTTGTTTATGAAATATAATTAGTTAAAACGGCTATAGCTTCTCTGATTTTGAAAAAAAAAGTAAGAAAGATGCGGAGTCTAGCCAAGTCTGTCGTCAAGTATAACCCCGAGATATTATACCTTCTTACTTCGAGGAATGACAGTTTAGTACGATGAGAGACTAGGGCTAGGGAAGCGAACTCCTTCTCGTTATAATCATAGAGTTACTTTTCGACGCGTTAATTATTAAATTCCATCTGTCTAATATGACAATATGTTTTAAAAGACCAACCAGGCAGATTTTGAACTGTAATATAAGGCTGTGTCATCAACGTATTGGGTCAAGTTTATTTTTGACGATTGTGGCATATCGGACATGTAGATAAAAAAAAAAAGTAAAAGGCTAGTAAGGAGACTTGTGGGTCCCCAATCTTTAAGTTTAATAGCGGACTTCAACGAACTTACTTTATCAGTAAAGTTTTTAACCATTAGGTGTGAGTGTACCACCGCAGTTAAGTAAAAAAGAAAGCTACCGGTTACCATTTCAGAGACTAGACCATAATGCCATACTTTATTAAAAGCCTTCTTAATATCGATTAAGAACACACCTGTTGCTTTTCTATTGTTAAAAGCTTTTGTAACTTCTTCCACAAGCCTGAGTGTCTGGTAAATAGCCGTATAGTTTTTCGAAAAATTAGGCAACCCCACGTACATGCTGTACACAAATTCTTATAACTCTGAAAGAATAACCGCCTCGCGAGGTTGGTTATTTAAATAAAATGAATGATCTGTTATAAAACCGTTCATCATAGTGAAGTTAATGATCTAATTTTAATAAAACTAACCTGGTTCTTAACTCCTTATTACGTGCGGCTTACGGTAGGTATAAATATCTAAGGTTGACAAGCTAGTGCCATACGTAGATTGATTGCAAGGTGAATGTAAGAAAAAATAACCGCCTCGCCACCCTTCCCAAGCAGAACAGGAAGCTTAATGGGTAATAACCTTAATAAAACAACTAGGGGACCTCGTTTTAGGAATAAAAATTACTTCTGCTAATTTCCACAGTTTGGAGAAGACAGTGGTAAGTATATGATTAATAGATCTTAAAATTAAAGATAGAGCTCGTGGAGTTAAGTTTTTAGGCATTATTCTAGAAAGTCGGGACCCAAGGCTTTCCCTGTATTAAGAAATTAAATAGTAGTTTTTAGCTCCGCACCGGTGGTCAAGCTTATTCTTATTACATATGTTAGGTCTTGAAAGGTAAGCAGTAACTATGGTGGCCTCAGGCCTAAAGTGGTTTCATTTCCTCGAACTCTAACATAGATTTTAGTGGGCTTCCAACGGGTCGGCAATTGCTTCTACTCTTTCATAGGGCGTCATCGCTGAGCACCCAGCGGTATGCAAGGGCGGTGTTTTAATGTCCCTAGCCTCAGTAGATTGAGTGGCCCTTAATTTTCACAAAAAGTTATTCTCTGGCTCAGAAGAATAATCTATATTCTATCAGTTCTCCTGAAACGGAGCTTTTAATTCCTTCTTAAATCGAATATTGGTCTGGACGTAAAGTTTTCTATCGAACGGAGGAAAGAAAATTAAATATCTCGCCCTAAACTTTCGCCTTTTTTGATCATAGATCTGATATGGCCTGGTAGGTCATACTGCTAATTTTTGCGTTCTTCAAATGAAGTGGACCTACTTTAGGCCTCTTTTTTAGCTCCTTCCATTAGCACAACAGCCGTGTCTAAATTAAGGGGTGGTGTCACTGTTTTTGTATTTTATGTTCCAAAAATGTTGGCCAACTAGTTACCTTTTTGACCCAGGTACTCGAGGCCGACTTAACCCCCATCTCTATGACGTTGGGGTTATGATCAAAGGAGCGTTCAAGTAACGTACTGCCGATACAGATAAGCAAATAATTTGTATTACTGTAATATTTAAAATGGACGATACCTTTACCATCGTCTATTTCGTCAAACCTCCATTTATTTTCTTTTCCCCTACCCGCTACTCCACAAAGGGTTTTTACAGTTTAGATTTCCAGTCATTAAGATGCTGGAGGAATCAGCAAAGCTTAATACATCAAAGTTATGCATATCCTTGTCGGGTGATTTGAAGCAGCAATTATATCGACATTCCCATTGTTACAGAGCTCTATATCTACGCTGCAGCCTCTTAATTTACCAGGTCGAAAAAATAGAGCGCTTGATGGGTAATGTTACTTTTTTAATTTAGACGACTACATCTCTTTCTCTAGTATCATCCCTGTCGCACCTAAAACAGAATGGTTAGTTACTCCAAATCGGTTGCCTTCCCTCAACTATGCTTCAGAGATGAGAATTATGTACAGGGTCATTTGGGCAATAAGTTCCTGCATTTTTGTGGTAACATATGCATCCTCTATGATTTGAAGGTGCTCCCCCTGGCAATTAGCGCAGGTAAGCCTTTCACTCTCGCTTTTAGTGCAGGGCATAGGCTCGTGGGGTCACCGCATATGACGCATTTGTAGCTTAAATTGCGATCCTCCCGCTTCTCTTTAGATTCAACCGAAACGGCTATAAACCCTATACTTTTTAAATTATAGACCCTTTCTTCGTAATTAGGCGATTTGTCAAATAGAAGAGGCAGAGGTTGTCTTTCCTTATAAAAGGGACGCATTCTAATCACTTCAACGGGTTGAACCCTTGAGACAAGATCTGCCTTTACAGTTTCTGTATCCAATCTTTGCAAAAATACCTCGAATTAACCACTTTAAGCTCTTTTTTCGCTAAGAAGCTGGCATAATATTCCCATTTCCTTAAGAATAGCTGGCAGTTTTCAGTAGACGTCCGCACCGTGTCATTTGTTGCCAAAATTTTGTTGTTTAACACAAATTCCAAGGCTAGTTTTGTTACGAATTAAACTCGGAGTTAATAAATTAATTTTAGACTGATTGCTCTTTGGGAAATTATCATAACTTTATTATGATTACTGTGTTCATTATTAGTTTTTGTGTTATCAATACTATTAGTAGTATTACTATATTATTACTGTTATTTTTAGTATTGCTACACGACTAGCATATGTATTGCCACTACTTAATTTGCCGAGAAAAATGTTCAACGACTTGAGTATGCTCGCTATAATTTAAAAAGATTGGCTTTTTTAATTAAAATCTTTACTTTTAGTAGAGTTACTATAATCAAAACCACCGTTATTATAGCTTTTAATCTCGTTTTTTTTACTTTGGTTTACTGCTCTTATTATAATTATTTTTGTTGTTATGGTTAATACTACTATCTATTAAATCTACAGTCACTTCTATCTTAAAACTCTCTTTAATGACCTCCTTATCATAACAAAGGTCATCTAGAAGTTGGAGGGGTTATAAGGAATTTTTTTTAATTTCATCTTTTATAGTGGCTGAGCCAAAAGGTTTCCTACATCTTTAAAAATTAGCTATCGAAAGTTACTTTCTTTAAGGAGCTAATTTTGTCTTTAAAGCCTCTAGGTCTTTTATAAGTTCAGCATTCTCCGTCAACAGGTTAGTAATATTAGCTCGCTGACTAGCAGTACCTGCGGAGGGGCGCTCCATCGTAGCAAATTGAAAAAAAAAATTACGTTATTAACAGTCGGCATTACAGATTTAATAAGATTAAGTTTCCAAATATTTAAATATATACTATATTAAGCTTTATATATGGCTATTAGTAAAGTAGAATCGCCCAATAATATATGAAAATAGGGGGAAATAACGCTTGCAACTCCACTACCCTCTCGATTTCTTTTTAACCAAAATATAAGGCCGGGAGTGATGGAAAAAATTTATCTTATGCCAAGCAATGCCATTCTGAAGAGTACACCATAGTTCCCTACTAAGTCGCTCTTTAAACACTAAGTGTACATAGTTTTGTCAACAGTAAAAGCCATGTGCTTTGGTATAATATATTCTTTAGCTTCTCAACTATTTATAAAGTATCAGGTTTCTCATTATCTAATGATTTCTCTGCCGAACAGCGTAGTTGAAATAAAATAAAACTATCAATACAAAATAAAAAAAAGCATATTTATAACACAACAATAATAGGAGATTAACCTTACACATCTCTAAAAATTTTAACTAATTAACCACATAGACAACACAAACCGTAAAACATTAAGCATGATGGAAAAAAAAAAATTAATAACAGTTAACGAGGAAGTAAGCACAAAGGAATAACATTTGGAAATGAAAACCCCTTACCCAACTTAAATAATTTGTCTCCTAGACAGTAGGACGCAGAGTAAATAAATTCTTCTGAATAGACAAAGATTGTTAAAGGTGAGGAATAAGTAGTCACATTAAAACAAAACAAAACTTTTGTAAAATCTTTTTTAAATGGAAAAAAAATAAAATTTTTTCAAAGCGTAGATATCCCTAACAAGGTTTGCAACTATATATTATAATTTAAGTTTGAAAGATACAAAAAAAAAAACTATTTTTAAATGAATATGCTCGAGCGTTAGAAGGAAATGCCAGTCAGGAGAGAATGAAAAATTATCGAAAGCACTTTTTTATATACCATTATAGGAAAACTCAATTGTAAGCGTTTCGTTTTTACACGCTTGGAGATTGACACTAGATCGTGTCAGTAATTTTAGTTTGAAAAAAATAATTACAATTTTGCTTTTATGGGGAGGGCAAGTTTCCTCTTTAAATGGCGGTGAGCTGTTTGGGGGTAGGCCTTGTCATCTTATTAAACGTGCATAGGTAATCAATCGAGTTCAAAAGATATATGCCCCGTTGCTGTGCACAAAAGCAACATGTCCCCAGCGAGGTAAACTGTGTTTATATAAAGCGTGTGCCCTATCATGACCCACGTACCTGTTGCTTAGACGTACGAAAACCATCGACCATTTAATCCCTGCAGAGGCAACTAAACAAGCTCCTGCGAATAATGGCGGATGCACATTATAAAGTACGCTATAATACGTTGCACGACGACCTGGGTTTGGGACAACTGTGAACTCCTCTTCAAAATGCGACTACTGTTTCTTTTGAAGGTGTTAGAAAGAATCCAAACCACCTGTGGGCTTAAACTTATATAGGAATCTCGAATAGGCGTTTGCGCTCTAAACTCATAGTTTGTGCACCTCTTCACACATATATATATGTATGAGTATACTTAAAATGATGAAATGATTAGTAGAAACTGAATGAGGGTTACGTAATGATCTAAAATTATTAGCAAAACTAAGCAGCCTCCGCTCGAATTTATTGAGCATTGGCATAAATCAATAATAATAATAATAATAAGATATTTGAGGCTCCCTCCCTTGGGTCTGGTACTTGAGACAACCCTTCTTAGTGGTAGTGTTTAGCAGTTTTATTATACCCTAGATCGAATAACCGGAGCCCGGTCCCGATATACGCTTCCGGCATCCCTCAGTCCTTTAGGACAGTTATGCTACTCCCTTGGGTGATTTATGGCAACGTAAAACTAGTACGACTGCATCATGATCAACGCTAAGAATGTTATTGACTTTCCTCATTACCCATGATGAACTTTTCCCATAGGCAGCCACTACTCATAATTGGAAGCTCAAGTTTTCGAAGATGTCTGACTTGGTCGAGTAATAGGAAAGATCATTTGTTAAAAAAAATTAAGATAGTATATCGTTTATAGGATAGCTTTTATTGCAAATAGGAAGATAGAACTACACTGCTATTAAATTAATTAGAACTTGTATGAAAAAAAAATGTTACTGAAAAATAGAAATTAAATTATATAATAAAATAAATTATCAAACGAAGAGTACAGTATATAAAAGGCCCAAGTATCAGAGAAAAAGGAAACATTTGCCTACTTGTGCCGTCAGTGAGGAGTAAACCTATCGGAAAGAAAAGCAAAGCATTTCTTATCTCAAGAAGAAGCATTACACTGCCCCTTCTCCTACCCTGGAAGGTGTTAATATCTCATGGGGCTCTCAAGCTAAGTACTTGAGCGTCTTATTGATAAGCGACTAACTTGGCAGCATCATGTAGAATTTATTGCGGTTAAATTCTGCCATTTTAAAGTATGCGTGTTTAGACATCGAAAAACCTTCAGCGATTACACTCCTGCAGATGCAATAAAATAAAAAAATAAGCTTCTGCGGTGAAAGACCGGCGCACCTTATCTCACTACGTCCTGGGCGAGAAACGAGTAGACAACTTTTTTCAAAGTGCAACTACTACCTCTTTAGAACATGTCCGTAAGCATCCTAACCACTAGTGGACCTCCAAAACTTACATTGGAACCTTGGAAAGTCGCACGTTTTTGACGACGATGCACTTTGAACGTACACTTTTAGTTTGTATACCTTTTCTCACATACTTATGCATAAATATAAATGAGATCATAACTGAAAACTAGCAGAATTAAAAACGGACTTCACCGAGTAGTATATATTATTAGCCAACTAAGCAGTCTGCGTTCGATTTTACCCGAGCATCTGCAAAAAATATTTACCTTACCTATTTGTAGTTAACCTAACATAAAAGGGTAAAACTACTTCTTCATAAATGTCTTAACTTCATATGTGAAGTAAGGTGAAATTGTAAGAGTTGAAAACTTATTTTCAATAAGAATGAACGGTACAACTTAACATTAAATACTACAGAGTTTAATCTCAGCTATAATTATAAAAATCCCTTTAATTAAAAGTTACCTTAAACAGACAGAAGAAACCACAAAAACATCACGAAACCTTAATTGTAATGTTTCGTAAATACACCTGTTACTGTAAATAGGAAAAAAACTAACGAAATAAAATATATTTTTTAACCAAATCTAATTAACCTTTTCTGCTTGATATAGCTTTAATGAATTTTCGTTAATTTCATCTTAATAATAAGTGTAAACAAAAGATGCGACAAGCAAGGAAGAAACATTACTTTCCAAAAGTAGTGTATTAATTGCTCTAACTTATATGTAAACTAATTACAGTTTTTTCCAATCATATAGGTTAAAAGTAAGGATATAATATGTTTTAAATTTTAAAAGCATAAAAAATTATATTTGTAAAATTAAAGTACCTGTTAGGTATGTACAACGAGGAAAAGGGGTGATCCGTTATAGTGTCATCTTGTATACTCATTGGAAAAGTGAAATTGTCCTGTTTTTACATTTTTAACCTTACAGTTGTAATTTTTTACGGCACGGAATTATTTGCATCCAGGTAACACGCAGAGAACCTTTGCTTCTCTAATTAACAATGTAATCCTTTTATTGTGGTGTACAAAGCTTAGAATTCGCTCTTTTTCCGAGTAGAGTTAATATGAAATAAACGTTAAATTTTTAAAGTGGTATAAGATTTTAATGTGTATGAAAATTTGATACCCTAAAAAAAATGTTGCTCCCCACCACCTGATTTATTTAATAATTGTAAATGACTTTTCCTAGTTTTCGATCGTGTAGACAACTTCGAATACACGACAACGTCAGCAGGATATATTCTAAGGGAAGAGCGCATTTGCGAAGCAAAAACTAGTATTGAAAGCTCGTCGCACGAACAGAGGTGCCGTGCCTCCGTCAACAGTTTATAAATGAACTCGCTCACCAGCACTTAATTATTTTGCCTAGCTAGCCAGTTTTTAAATGCAACGGGATCGCTTCGGAAGACGGCGTTCAATGGATATAACTGGTCTTGATGGAAAGCTTCATTTCGCACAAACCACATGCGTTTGTCGCCACGCGTAGCAACTCGTTTTGTCGCACTTAAAGTGTGAATGCTAGAGCGGTGGAGTTGTAGGCCTAAACAGCAGGCGGGTATGTCGTTATTGAGAGCAAATACCTACAATAATCGTTTGTTGAGCAGCGAAAGCTTGCTCTTGCTGCATAGTAAATCAAATTGTTTTACTCGCTGCTAGCGTAGTCCATCAGAATCGCCTCGATATTTTTATGACGACGACTCCTGAGTACACCGCTTGAATGCTCCTTCAAAGGCAACCGTTGAACCTATAAATGAAAGAATATGTGGATTTCCTATAATTTTTTGTGTTCCAAGTATGCGTAAATAATGCTTTTAAAAGACTTAAAAATTATTAAATAAATTTTTTTACGTGTTTTACTTAGCTATTATATATATATATGTCTATTTCCCTATAGTATTTTAGTTTTCGAAACTAACTTTCCCTTGTGTGATTGGGCATTTATTTTAAGCGTGGGGTCAGCACATAAGCAGGGAGGTTGTTGACTGTCACAGCGTCTTATCACACATATACTGCTATTAAAGAATAAGCCTCTCACAATTTTTTAGATAATATTTGTCTGCAATGGAGTCTCTTTTTTCCATAACTAAAGTAGACTTTACTCCCTCTGATTTAATTGTTCAAATGGTTGTTTCAAATAATATCGTGATACTCGCCCTTTCAAATAATTCCCTTTGCAAAATAGACCTTGAAAAACCAGCTGATATATTTAGTTTAATTTATTTGTCATGTTTTTATGTTTTGTTTTTAGCAACCTTCTATATAGTTGTCACTTAAAGTCTCTCATTTCTTCACAATTATAGTTATTGAGATTCCTCATAAAGAAGCTATAATTAATAAAGTTCATTTGGATCATACCGGTAAACACCTAATTGTTTCCTTGTGCTCTAGGTATTAATATACCACCAAAAATACTATTAATCACTATAAAGCTTTTTTCCTGCTTATAGGCTTCTATATCTAATTTTTTTTTGTTAATATGTTCTCACTGTACAATTATTAACCTTTTAGAGATCATTTTTATGTGAATGTAAACTTTTTTAGACCGAAGGTACTTTCGAAATTTAAGGTTTTTTAGTTTATAACTTTTTATTATACTTTATAAATTTAGGCCTTCTTTGTACACTAGGGCCATATTGTTGAGTCTGTAGCTTTTAATAATAATAACAACTCTAGTTCTGGCACCCAAGAGATATTCATTGCTACGTCGGAGGTGCGAGTATAGCGACTTTATTATTCTAGCTATCTCTTTGCCCGAATGCTAACCTTTTTTAAGGGTTTATTGTATGAAACTGAGCTTGAATGCACCACTTCCTCATTTTTGCCCGGCAGACCAGAAAAATATTTTAAGCAGGTTTTTTGGTTTGCTTGAGCTTTAGCCTTTTGTATAGATTTCGGTTTATTAGGTCTATCAGTTTGACCAGAAGGAGCCCATAGTTGGTCTCTTTTATAAACGTCTTTCCTCAGTGTAATTCTTTCATTAATGGAACTTTTTATTGGGAAACTTTTGTATAAGGTTATTTCTGCACGACAGCTCTGAGCGTCGTTGCATCTTACTGGCCATTACACAAACGCGATTGTATCAGTTTTCTGGAACGTTAACACAAGGCACTCCTCGTTCCTCTGCTATGTTTTCGAAGTACAAAACAAGTCAAGGTCGCTTATATGTGTAACCGGACCTTTCTAACCCTCACATCACTGCACCCTGCGCGCACGTAAAGCACTTGTTTTTCAAGAACTTCTTAGCGACTCTCCAACTTCGGCCTTAGCAGTCTATAATACTTTTGACAATATTTCCCCCTCTTTTGCTTGGATGAATGGTACGCGTGATTATTGACAGTTCCAGTTAAGCGACACCTCTTTCTTCCGCAAGGCCTTGGGATTTACTATGGAACCCTGTCTATTGACGAGCGCCAGAAAAGCGACTTTTTATTGCGGAACACCATCCTTTTTCTGTGAGACCTTCTTACTGATCTTTAAGGCTTCGCTTAAAGTTACTCAGTTTTACCTCTGAGAACAATTTTAACGCTGCGCCGCTCTCTTTTATTCCCACCAAGCTTCACTTTCTCATTCTCGGAGGCACTTATTTGGTCTGTTTTTGGGGTGTCTTCTCTATTTATATTTACTTGCGGCGGAAAGGCCGGCATATGCACTTTAAACCAGTCCGTAGTGTTTCGAAGGGGACTTTCTACCATAAGCTCCTCCCGACTGATCGGCCTTTGCGCTGATCACGAGAGAGGGACTTATTGGTGCTATTCTGCCGACAGCGTCTATGAGATTTGTGCAAGCAATGAGGAGGAGTATTGCCCGATTATGCCCCTCGCTTTAATTTGCCTGCGCAGTGACTATTTGCCGCAGTTCTCTGTGGCACTACTATTTAGCTAAGGGAGAATACGAGTCTGCGTTGGGTCTCTGTTTAGAAAACTCGGCTCGTACACAGCTCGTGCGTTCAGCCCAGGCCAGACATTATTTTGATGCTGGTCAGTACCAGGCAAGATTTTCAATGTTTGATAAAGCTTTGCACCTTTTAATTTTGACAGCTTGCTGCTGAGTGCTATTCTCATACATCCACACCACTTGAAGATGTAGCTCTCATGTTTCTTGAGAAAAATGCGCTGGTCGCGCTAAAGGAGTACTTAAGTAAAATCCTCAACTCGTTGAAACCTAACCTAGGCGTGTGCCCCATCTCATGCTTTGGCGCTGTTATCGTGTATATGTAGGAAAAATCACAGATGACGATGCTGCAGATTTGGCTGTTGGAACTGTATCTTGGCGAGCTTAACCATGTTTTTATGTTGCCTTTTGTTATTGGTTAATCTCTGGCTGAGCTGGAGTGTCTTTTTAGTTGGAAGCTCATGGAGAAATTGTTGAGTTTTCGAAGAGTTTTGCTGAACTTCAGTACTTTTTAAGCGAACAACTTCTTGGAGTGATGCTTTAAACTACTCTTTTGCTGCTTTGCCTCACTATATTAACGAGGAACGCAATATTTACCCGCTGATCTACGACCTGTTTTTCAGTCATGGCCGCCTGGACATATTTATTTTCTTTGCCTCTCTCGCAAGGGATTTTGAGAGTGTCGTTAGGTAAAAACTTTAAGAAGCCCTCTTCACATTGCCAGTAATGCTTCCTTTGTTTCTACTTTCCAGGCATTACATCACTCACGGACAGTACGTGGAGGCCTTGCAAGTCCTACTCAAAGCGGTAAGCGCCATTTATTGGGTCTGCACGTCTCAACTTATCTGCTTCTTTTTGCAGAAAGACGAGGAGCTATTCTACCAGCACAGCACAGCTTTGCTAATTAACCAACCCAAAAAGACCATTCGTGGTAGAGCTACGTTGAGCTTTTCTCCTTGTTTGTGCTCTAATTTATATCTTGCGCCGCTTGTTCGCTAAGCCTGGATAGAGACGGATCAGCTGAACCCGCGACGCCTACTTCCAGCTCTTACTCAGTATGCTGCGGCCTTTCCTGATCTGCCATGGGCAAGTATTTTGTGCGCTTCTAGGCCCTGATTTTATTGTTCCGGATCTCGCAGGGCGAACATTGCGGCCTGAAGTACTTGGAATACTGCGTGCGGGAGTTGCGTGTAACGGATGCGTCGGTTCATGACTACCTTCTTTTTCTACTTGTGGGCACTAACGCTGATGAAAAGCTTCTGCACTTTTTAAAAGAAGTTTTTTTATTGGCAACATAAGAATAAGAACATTCGGCTTTTAACTAGAAACGCCTTAACGTAGTCGGGACATTACGATCAGCAACAAGCCCTTCGCCTTTGCAAAAAGAAGCACAAGCACCATGCTTGTATATATCTTTACAACCACTTGAACATGCATGAGGAAGCCTTAAATCTTGCGCTGGCTGTACTTTCTTTGCTACTTTCTAAAAAGCGCGAGCTTAATTTCTCCCCGTCAGATCGATATTGACCTGGCCATACACTCTGCGAGTCTGCCCGTGGATAACAAGGAGTTATCAAGGGCTCTTTGGCTTCGTATAGCAGAACACCTTATAAAAGAGGGCGAATGGCCCAAAAGGTATTCTTTGGGAGACCAATCATTATTACTTCTTTTTACCTTGGCACATTTCTTGGGAGGGTTTTGCGGCTTCTTGAAGGATCGTCTCCATTGGTGCTTGAGGATCTTATTCCCCTATTTCCAGATTCTTGCAACATTGATCCATTTAAAGTCATTTTATTTTGTTCTTCTAGCTAAAAGAAACCGCCGCCTAACATTCACTAGGAGCTTATATGCCGCTCTATGCGGCAGAGTCAGCAGCGCATCGATGCTCTTAAAAAAAGCATGGAGGAGGCTGCAGAGAGTGCACAACTTCTAAAAAAAGATCTACACGAGTTAAAAAATAAGTAGCTTTTTATCATGGACGGGATGTCATGGAAGTCATATTTAGCTGTATAGATATAAAGTCCTCAAGACAGAAGATCTATGCGTCCTTTGCAGACAACTACTTATTATTCGGCAATTTTTCCTTTTTTCTTGTGGCCATTATTTTCATGTGGATTGCTTGGCTAAAAAGGTACTTTGCGCAACAGTTAAATCTGATAGTTGGTATTGTGCTTATGAAACAAATTAGTATACAAACCATTTGACAGAGGCACAAATGCAACACGTTGAAATTCTACTTGCAAGGCTAACGGTTAGAAACCTTGGTCCACGTGGCGAAGAAATGAACGGCGGCGCAATTTTCCCCGAGAAAAGCATACACCGTCTTAAAGTTGTATTTCCGATCTCTACTATTGTCTCTTACTAACTCCGCATGTTAACCTGTCGACAGGAGGATATCTGTGGCTTAATAGCTCAAAGTTGTCTCCTATGTGGAGAACTTGCCGTGCAATCTATAGACGAACCACTTATTCCACCACAGGACCTACCAGATTTAATAAAAAAATGGGGACTCTAACCTTAGCATTAAATCCCCTCACGCATTTGTTGGCAGTAGAGCATTTATCCGAAAAAAGAATCGTGCAGGTGGAAATCGAACCCACGACTCTGGGTATGCACGTCTCAATGCTCTTTACAGCTGAGCTACGACGCCAACTTTTAAACCCAGTATGCTGGCTTTACGTATTTAGCCTGTTATTTATAACTATAGATTGCTTAAACTAGTTTTATTAATTTTATAATGTGAGCACATCTTAAATGTCTTCTGTACAGCGTGTCTCCAAGTATCTATAGAGGTGCCTATACCTCATCGCAGGGTGGCAGTATTCTTAAGTTTCAGGAAAAAGTTAAGCGACATTGCAATTGATAATAGTTAATATAATAATTATATAAAAGTATTTGTTAAAGATATATATTCATAAAATTATTATTTTAAACAATTAAAGTAGATGTAGTTAACTGATTTTAAGGAGTTTCAGTAGTTTCAGGCAAGTTATTAAATTGCGTAACCACACTTAATTGGTGTTGACTACACCGCTCGCAATGTAGCTTAGTTATAACTCCCCTTATGTATTAGACTAACCTATATTTACTTTAATTTTTTATAGAATTATTTATGACTTTCCTAAGGGTGTCTTTGTTTACCATTTCTTTTGTTTACAGCTTCGCTTTGTTTTTGAGTTAATTTTATCTAACAGCGGTAAAAGTTTAATTAGATAATCTATGTTAGAAAGAAGGCAAGCGTTTTAAATGAAGAGCCTGGTCCGGGTTTTTTATAATGTACAATTGTGCTACCGATAAGTTTTTTATTTTCCATCTTTTCTCACTTAAGCGACTAGATGCACCTTTGACCTCTGGTTGTCAAAGTGTTCTCTTTCAATTATTAAAGCTCTACCCATAAATTTTTACATTAAAGCTTACGCGATCTATGTTTTCAATAGTTGGCGAAAATTCTTAAATTAAGTGCCAAACCAACAATGTTAGTCCGGCCTTGGACTGATTGACAGGGGGCTCTAGAGAGACATTCAACTTAGTCGTAGTTTAGTTTTACTGCATTGTTTTTTCTTTGTCCTTACTTTCAGATTGTAAAGTTTGAGCTTTAAGGTTACTACTGAGCTGTAAATAGGGATAAAGCGTTTAAGATAAATACTAAGTTTTTTGTATTAGCCAAAATCTTATTTTTCTTATCTTCCACGCGTAGTTATTAGGCATAAATAATATAGCAATTAATAAGTAAAGGAAGAAAGCTTTGAGCTTTATTAATTGTAATAAAGGTTAACCTTCATATAATATTAAGAACTTTATCATGACATAAAAACATTTTCTAATGGGATGGATCTAAGTTGACAAAGTAGTGAGCTAATTCCTAACTCAAGTAGCTTTATATTTTAGTTTAATACCGTAAAATATTTAGGGTTAAGGAGTTACAAAGTTGAATATAACTTTCAGCAAAGCGATACTGATGATATTTAGAGTATCATTCTGGAGAGGTTATAAAAAAAACCCCCAAAATAAAATATACTCATAATTAGAAAGCATTGACGCTTCTTTACTATAAAAATGATTGGAAAGTAAACTATGTAAAAAAAAAAATTTCAATTAACTGGAAACCACCTACTAGGGATATGTGAAACATATTTCAAGCATACCATATAAAAAATTCAATGCCTACAAATAAATGGGTATAATTTAAATTTTGTAATTTGGTAAGAGACTTATTTTTATATATTACTAAGTTCACAGACTTAACGTATCGAGAACTTTAGACTTCGCAAATATTTATTCGATAAATTTGTGTTGCATGAGGAACCCAACACGTGTTATCAAAAAAAAAAAAAAGCAAAATAAGTGCGTGGCCACACCCATGCCCTTGATCAGCCAATTGCGTAGCTTCTACAGCACCAAAATTATAAGTAATAAATGAGGTAACAACAGATCACTTCACACTACGCCTAACATGTTTTCAACACTTTTACATTTAGTCGACTTAACTATATATTTACGCAACTTTGATATCTAATTATTATTAGCTGCACGTACTCAACCTTTCATTGGAGTTTTTATAACTGAAATGTATTTTAACATACAAAGAAATAGAACAGATCGAAAACCGGTCACTATTGTCTTCTTGCAATATATATATATATACATTTATACATTTTTATTTACATATATAATTTTTAATTACTTAACATTTTTGTATTTTTAAACCCTAACACTCTGTGCTTCCGGTCTCTGCATTAGTAGTATCACAGATACCTCATCATCAAAATAATGTCAGAATTTAAAATTTTCAGTTACACTAAATAACGTTCAAGGTCTGTTTTTCACTTTATTAGCCCTTGCAATATATATTTGTTCTTTAAATTTTTTAAGGACCCAAGTCAATAAATTATATGAACTTACTTTAAACGATCTAGTATATAAAGAGAAGGCAATGAAGAAGGAATATTAAACAGTTTAAAATTTATCAGTGAACTTAAAATACATTAAAGTAGTAATAAAAAAAAAAAATTACCATAAAAAGACTATTGAAAAAGTAGTAGTTTCTATTTATTCCACTAACTACTGAAAACACTTATTTTACCTGCTTTATTAAAAACTTCTTTATTAAGAGTAAATGGTCTCATGATTAAAATAATTTACGCAATAAGCTTCTTCTTCCCTCCCCCTCCCACTAGTTTCTGAATATTATTGTTTCGGCAATTTTTAACTAGAAAGGATGTTTTCATTACCGCTATCCTGTGAGATAGAAAAACTAATTGTTACAGAGTTTAAAGTCATAGTCAGTTAATAGCCTACGTGTTAAATTTTTTGTAACGCCAATAAATGGGCACTCACTGTAGGAGGCAGGGGAGCATTAATTAAGACATTAAGTACTAACACATTCCTTACCCGAAATAAATGATGTACATATTAGCTTCATACCATTATCAATAAATTTCACAGTTATTCAAATTGTGTGCTATGGATCTAGCATGCGCTCTTTGTCATCAATTTCATTTGGGTATTATTGTTATATGCGCCAATGCAAGAAAATATTATGATTAGCGTTTTAAGCGCTTAAACAGACATTTAAGGTTTCCCCCCTTGAAGTGAGGGCTATTCTGTTGCTTTCTTTGTATAAAGCACCTGTAGCGTATTTTCTCTCTAAGCTACTTTTGCTTTTACATCCAATTTCTAAAGTTCTGTTTTTTTCTACGGTCTTTTCTTACGTTCTATTTCCGCCTGTGCACAGCTTTGATATAGCTGTGCATTAGCTCCACTTTTGATCTAAAATCTTAGCTTTGTTAACTATTACTGTTCAAGGTTATTTAGTTTACTTTTTTTTTCCTCATGAATGTTTTAACTCTTGTAAGTCCACCTTTGAGCGCATATTATTATCGAAGGCCCTAACGATTTCTAGAATTTTTTGGTGGCTCGAATTGAAGCATTTGACCTCCTTTATTCTTTCAGAATTCCCCCATGCCAAAAATACAAGACCTTTATGAGAAGGCAGGAAAAACTTTATTACGGTATGAAACCCTAACCTGGCCAAATCCTTCGCGACAGGTTATATCCGTGTCATTCTGGGGTCGAGAGTTGGCTTCGTAGCTCTGCGATCAAGAACATTGACCCGCATGCTCAAGGTCGTGGGCCCCAGTCCCACCGCTACGCCTCTCTTTTTCGGTTTTTAAATGGTGGTGTGGGTTAGTCTCTTGCCCTTTTAAATTCTAAATTTGTTTCAATTTATCAGCAATTTTTTTCAATATAAATTTTTTTATATCACTTACTTTTACAATAAAAGTCATTTATACATGTTAAACCTTTTTAAATATGTTAAATTAAACCTAAGCGGCTAGGGTTAAGTAAACCATTTCTTTTTTAATTTAAAATTCTAGCTGTAGTAGTAAAAGCGATAGAAATTTACGCAGTTTATTTTTAAGTTAAGTAGCGAAACTTTCACAGTTTGCGCAACAGGTCGAGTCACTATTTGCGGCCTTGTACAATATATTACTTTAATATTGTATATTTGAGGGTCTTTAAAAAGAAAAGAAAAATGAAGAACTTTATTTTTTAACCTTACATTATGTTAAAATATTCCGTAGCCACCCGAATAGTAAAAAAGCTTTCCTATGACCTTCTTCCTTTTTTTTTATTCTTTTACTTCTAGCTTATCTTTAAATTTAAAGCGAACCACATCCTTTTTCCAACACCCTCTTTTTTTTTAAAAAAAAGCATTAGACCATGTTGCGAATGGTTACTTTTTTTTAACTATTACACTTAGCTTGACAAAGAGTTTCAAGAGGGTTTTCTCTCATTGTTATTATCATTAATATGCCTTTTCCTTTGTATAATTAATGAGTATGGTATAGTTCTTAGCCCCAGACAATTTTATAATATGAAAAATAATGTACTATCGTTATAAGTTTAATATTAAAGCAGGTAGCCTTCTGTGCAAACCTCGGTAACTTAATGACTCATCTGCCTCACGAGGATAGGGATAAACGCTCAGCTGTTATTAGCAAAAAGATATATAGCTTCTATAAAACGGAATTAATATAATTTTATAATGGAAGAAGATTCGATATATAGTATCGAAAAAGTACCAGGTAAAGGTCTGGCGGTTATAGCTCTTAAGGACATACCAGCATCCGTTCCTGTGATGATTTCACTTCCAGATATTGCCGTTTTGTACTAGTTTTTAGTATATAAATTTCTGAGAAAAAATGATTTTACCTTTTTTTTTTTTATTCGTGACTTTATTAAGTATTCAACTATTTAAATAGTTTAACCATTTTATTACTTTCTTTGGCGAACAGGTACACTGAAAATTGTAAGAAGTATTGCTCTAACTGCTTTAAGCCTCGAGAATTTTTTTTGGGCAACACTAAATTTTTTTTAAAAAGTGAACTTATTAGTTCAACTTTTACGGCTGATAAACCATTTATATGTGAGAACTGTGATTGTTTTATTCTTTGCCAACAATGCAACGTTTACACAAATCTTTCGAATTACCACAAATATGAGTGTGACGCT